ACTCCAACCTATCCTATTCTATCCTATCCTGTCTTATCCTATCCTATTCTATTATTTTCTATTCTACACAAAGAAGTTACTGATAAAGTAATAATTAAACGTTTTTTATCGGAACCAGGCATTACCAGTTGCTCGTGATTTGACAGGCAGTACAAGAAGTTAGTCATAGCTCCTCTAGGATGAACGAATAGTTAGTATGTATATTTAAGAGTTCTATTAAAAAAAAAAGAAATGCATGATTTAGTCACAAAATTGCAAACCCATAGACACATCCACACATGCTACAAAAGGGATGCAATATGTAGATTTGCGTTTCCGAGACCAGTTTCAAGTGAAACACGAATTTTTGATGACGAACAAACCGCTAAACATAGAGGAAAGTTTTATATTTAAAAAGAAAGGATTCTGAGACCATGATTAATGCACACAATCCAGAAATATTGAAAATGTATCTAAATATATATCCAAGTCAGAGCCTACAGAAATCATAAGATCAATAAAAAAGCCATTCGACGTGTACGAGAGCAAGGTGGCGATATTGGAAAACAGATATTTGCAATACAAAATGCCTTTTTAACACATCGAGAAGTTTCGGCATTTTAATGCTCCTTCCGTTTATGCCATCACAATTTAAGGAACAGCTCACGAAAATGCGTTTTTGTCATTTCTTGTTTTTCAGAGAAGCGATACAGAATGCTCAGGATTGGCAACGATGTTTCGGAACCGTATAAAAATATTTTTGATAGATATGTTTGTAGGCCTCGCCATCTAGAACACCTTAGTTTAGGAGAGTTTGTCATTTGGTCTGACTTGGTGGCTTCGCAGTGGAATGACATCAATGGTGATGAACAAAATATTGATGCATATGAAATGGAACAAGATAATACAGATAATCGACAACCGTACATAAATTACTGGATAATACAGGCCGAATGAGAAAACTAAACCATCCATCCATTTTGCGCACACGTTATTTTACGCTAGCATTGAACCCGAGAGCCTATTATTATTCTCTCTTGGTAACCCATGTTCCATTCAGAGTTGAAAATGAATTATTGGATGGCTTTGTTGACGCATAAGATGCTCTTTATGCCAAGCAAAGCCAATTACAACCTCTAGAAGAAGGCACTTATTTGGAAATATTTGCTTCTTGGGAGACTGAAATTCAACAGGCAATAAGTCGTATAGTAGTAGAAAATCTGACTGCAGAATCCATTTACCAGAGTTATTACTAAAACTTAACGATTGATCCCATAGACGTGTACTTGGTGAAGACGAGCACATCGTTGATTTCGAAGAGGAGCCTTGTGACCCTGTGATGACAGATCAGCAATACAAAGCCGCTGTAACATCATTAAACATGCAGTAGCGACAACTTTTTAATAAAGTTGCGAATAAATTGCTTCACGATGACATACCTGAGCCTTCGCATGTATTCGTAACAGGTGGTGCCGGAAGTGGCAAAACGTTAAAGTTACTTGTCGAACAAATAAGTCGATAGCGCACGACAATTACGAAAACGGTGTTATTGCAACTGCGCCCACTAGTGTAGAAGCTAGACTTATTGGGGATAGCACTTTACATGCGACTTTCGCTTTACGGATAGAAAAGGGTAGAACGGAAGTTTTGCGATCGATGGCTGGAGAGAGACTTCAAAGAGAACATCAAAAGTGGTGGCATGTAAAATGGGTGGTTATTGACGAGATGTCAATGGTGCCATATTTAACTCTTCGAAATGTTCACTTGCGACTGCAACAATATAAAGAAAGAGAACTGCCTCAAGCTGTATTCCTTGAGTTTGATGACTCTAGCATAACTAGTATCCGACCCGGCATTGGTGTCCTTATTGAGCCTTGTACTACTGATTTTGATACTTTACGTGGTAAAAGAAAGATCGAGTGACGTATGCTTCCACTAATTTTGAGCTGGGCAGTAACAGTACATAAATTACAGGGAACAATTTTAGACCAGGCTGTTGTTAATTTAAGCAGTAATCTTTTTGTTAAAGGTCAGGCTTACGTCGCTTTGAGCAGAGTTAGATCACTCTCAGGTCTAGTGATTAGTTCGCTAGATTCTAGAAAGTTACTACATCAACCAAACGATCAAAATTCTCTTGAAGAATTGAACAGCTTCCGTAAATTATAATTTAAATTTCTCTGTTTTTTTTTTGGCATGCGATCAATATTCTCTACGTTTTGCCCGACTTATTCATTTTATATTAGGCGGGACCCAATGAAAATTATAAATTACTAGAAAATTATTGGGTTCCGCTTGCTACTAAACTTAATATTTTACTTAGGCTATTTTACTTAGCTTGTTTTGTATTCTTAATCATATTTCGATTTTTTTTAGTGCATAACTTTCAAATTGTATTTTTTGCAGTCGTGTTTTTGATTTTTTAAATTATTTATTTTATTTATAATATAGTTTATTTTCATTATAAATAAATAACTTGGGTCTGAGCGGTCGCCTTTTTTAAGGGATAAGTTTTTACGTGAACATACTTCAAAGGTCATAATGGCGCACGCGGGAAGTAACTTTAGCGCACGCACGGGAGGTAATTTGTCGAATGCTTGTCGTGTCACTGCCAGTATGCTATTGTTTTTCAGTTTGAAATGTCGCGTTTTTATCTATTTCACAATATATCTTAGTAGTTCGAAGCATGAAGAGAACTTGTAGTGCATTCAAGTGTGTCCTTTTTGGTGATATCTAAGATATTAAAGAGAACAGTTTACCTACGTATGAAGATGTGACGAAGTACAACGAGTGGACCAGGCATCAACTAAAATTGCAACTGTAAACTGTGAAAGAGATTTTCACAAATAGTAGATATTATGGCACTTAGAGTTGAAAATATCTAACAAACTGCGTCTAATCCGACTGAGATTAGAACACGAGTCAATTAAGAAGCTCTCTTTAGAAAAATTGGATAATTTTCAAGAAAATAGTAAGCAACTGTTGGATGTTTCAGCATGCAAATGCATGGAATTCATGAATTGCACCTACCCGATCGATAAAAACAAACTCAAACGAGAACACTCATTTTTGATTGAACAACGAATTTCTCGCAAAGTTCTTGTATATAAAGGTTCTTATATATTGTGAATGGACTCGTTATAAGGTCCCATTTAACCTCCTTTCGGCTTTACGGGTAGTTTTGTAACGCCTTGTATAGGTTCCACCCTCTTACCCATTCCTGCCGCCTAATAATAATGCTTGCACTACTGTGGAACATATGACGATTTGATGGTGCATCGCCGCAGATGTCGGAAGGCTAGCCGCCGGCCACGGAGGCCGGTCCGTCAGCAGCTCCTACGTCTGCAGCACCTAACTTAGGTGCTCTGATAATGATGCTGCAGGAACAGGCCCGCCGACGGGAGGAACAGGCCCGTTGGTTAGGAGAGCAGCTGTGAGGCGAACAAAAGCAACAGGCCCATCAGTTGGAAGAGCAGATACTCCTCATGAAGGACCTTCACGCTAGCTTCGGGAAAGAAATAAAGGAGGAGAAGGATAGTATTGATCAACATGACAACCCCCTGTCGGAAGCTTAAACCCTAATCAACCAAATGAACAATCGGGTTGACAACGTGATGGCTGACGTGAAGAAAACGAATGACGTGAAGAAGACGATCTCAAACTCGGGGGTGGAATCACAGCTCCCGTATGGTGCTAGGCGACAGCGACGATAACATTGAAGTCTATTTCTAGACCAATTGAAGTAGAACTAACTTTTGAGAATATATTCGACCGATTTTCCTGATCTAGTTTCCTCCGTAGAGTCTTTTGTAGCTTCTTCGTAGTAGTAACGTCAACTCAGCTTGTTATCACTTTGCGAGAAATTCGTTGTTCAATCAAAAATGAGTGTTCTCGTTTGAGTTTGTTTTTATCGATCGGGTAGGTGCAATTCATGAATTCCATGCATTTGCATGCTGAAACATCCAACAATTGCTTACTATTTTCTTGAAAATTATCCAATTTTTCTAAAGAGAGCTTCTTAATTGACTCGTGTTCTAATCTCAGTCGGATTAGACGCAGTTTGTTAGATATTTTCAACTCTAAGTGCCATAATATCTACTATTTGTGAAAATCTCTTTCACAGTTTACAGTTGCAATTTTAGTTGATGCCTGGTCCACTCGTTGTACTTCGTCACATCTTCATACGTAGGTAAACTGTTCTCTTTAATATCTTAGATATCACCAAAAAGGACACACTTGAATGCACTACAAGTTCTCTTCATGCTTCGAACTACTAAGATATATTGTGAAATAGATAAAAACGCGACATTTCAAACTGAAAAACAATAGCATACTGGCAGTGACACGACAAGCATTCGACAAATTACCTCCCGTGCGTGCGCTAAAGTTACTTCCCGCGTGCGCCATTATGACCTTTGAAGTATGTTCACGTAAAAACTTATCCCTTAAAAAAAGGCGACCGCTCAGACCCAAGTTATTTATTTATAATGAAAATAAACTATATTATAAATAAAATAAACAATTTAAAAAATCAAAAACACGACTGCAAAAAATACAATTTGAAAGTTATGCACTAAAAAAATCGAAATATGATTAAGAATACAAAACAAGCTAAGTAAAATAGCCTAAGTAAAATATTAAGTTTAGTAGCAAGCGGAACCCAATAATTTTCTAGTAATTTATAATTTTCATTGGGTCCCGCCTAATATAAAATGAATAAGTCGGGCAAAACGTAGAGAATATTGATCGCATGCCAAAAAAAAAAAACAGAGAAATTTAAATTATAATTTACGGAAGCTGTTCAATTCTTCAAGAGAATTTTGATCGTTTGGTTGATGTAGTAACTTTCTAGAATCTAGCGAACTAATCACTAGACCTGAGAGTGATCTAACTCTGCTCAAAGCGACGTAAGCCTGACCTTTAGCAAAAAGATTACTGCTTAAATTAACAACAGCCTGGTCTAAAATTGTTCCCTGTAATTTATGTACTGTCACTGCCCAGCTCAAAATTAGTGGAAGCATACGTCACTCGATCTTTCTTTTACCACGTAAAGTATCAAAATCAGTAGTACAAGGCTCAATAAGGACACCAATGCCGGGTCGGATACTAGTTATACTAGAGTCATCAAACTCAAGGAATACAGCTTGAGGCAGTTCTCTTTCTTTATATTGTTGCAGTCGCAAGTGAACATTTCGAAGAGTTAAATATGGCACCATTGACATCTCGTCAATAACCACCCATTTTACATGCCACCACTTTTGATGTTCTCTTTGAAGTCTCTCTCCAGCCATCGATCGCAAAACTTCCGTTCTACCCTTTTCTATCCGTAAAGCGAAAGTCGCATGTAAAGTGCTATCCCCAATAAGTCTAGCTTCTACACTAGTGGGCGCAGTTGCAATAACACCGTTTTCGTAATTGTCGTGCGCTATCGACTTATTTGTTCGACAAGTAACTTTAACGTTTTGCCACTTCCGGCACCACCTGTTACGAATACATGCGAAGGCTCAGGTATGTCATCGTGAAGCAATTTATTCGCAACTTTATTAAAAAGTTGTCGCTACTGCATGTTTAATGATGTTACAGCGGCTTTGTATTGCTGATCTGGCATCACAGGGTCACAAGGCTCCTCTTCGAAATCAACGATGTGCTCGTCTTCACCAAGTACACGTCTATGGGATCAATCGTTAAGTTTTAGTAATAACTCTGGTAAATGGATTCTGCAGTCAGATTTTCTACTACTATACGACTTATTGCCTGTTGAATTTCAGTCTCCCAAGAAGCAAATATTTCCAAATAAGTGCCTTCTTCTAGAGGTTGTAATTGGCTTTGCTTGGCATAAAGAGCATCTTATGCGTCAACAAAGCCATCCAATAATTCATTTTCAACTCTGAATGGAACATGGGTTACCAAGAGAGAATAATAATAGGCTCTCGGGTTCAATGCTAGCGTAAAATAATGTGTGCGCAAAATGGATGGATGGTTTAGTTTTCTCATTCGGCCTGTATTATCCAGTAATTTATGTACGGTTGTCGATTATCTGTATTATCTTGTTCCATTTCATATGCATCAATATTTAGTTCATCACCATTGATGTCATTCCACTGCGAAGCCACCAAGTCAGACCAAATGACAAACTCTCCTAAACTAAGGCGTTCTAGATGGCGAGGCCTACAAACATATCTATCAAAAATATTTTTATACGGTTCCGAAACATCATTGCTAATCCTGAGCATTCTGTATCGCTTCTCTGAAAAACAAGAAATGACAAAAACGCATTTTCGTGAGCTGTTCCTTAAATTGAGATGGCATAAACGGAAGGAGCATTAAAATGCCGAAACTTCTCGATGTGTTAAAAAGGCATTTTGTATTGCAAATATCTGTTTTCCAATATCGCCACCTTGCTCTCGTACACGTCGAATGGCTTTTTTATTGATCTTATGATTTCTGTAGGCTCTGACTTGGATATATATTTAGATACATTTTCAATATTTCTGGATTGTGTGCATTAATCATGGTCTCAGAATCCTTTCTTTTTAAATATAAAACTTTCCTATGTTTAGCGGTTTGTTCGTCATCAAAAATTCGTGTTTCACTTGAAACTGGTCTCGGAAACGCAAATCTACATATTGCATCCCTTTTGTAGCATGTGTGGATGTGTCTATGGGTTTGCAATTTTGTGACTAAATCATGCATTTCTTTTTTTTTAATAGAACTCTTAAATATACATACTAACTATTCGTTCATCCTAGAGGAGCTATGACTAACTTCTTGTACTGCCTGTCAAATCACGAGCAACTGGTAATGCCTGGTTCCGATAAAAAACGTTTAATTATTACTTTATCAGTAACTTCTTTGTGTAGAATAGAAAATAATAGAATAGGATAGGATAAGAGAGGATAGGATAGAATTGGATAGGTTGGAGTAAAGTAGGATAGGATAGCAAAAAATAGGATAGGATAGAATAGCATAGGATACGATGGGATCATCAGGTGGACTGTGTGCTCGTTAGTCACCCATATTCTACAGAAAAGCGTTAAGTTGTGATTAAGCCAGAATTATCAAGACTTAATTCATCTAATTGTTTTAAATAATTTTTTTTACGGTGGGAAACTGATAGCAAGGATTATTTATTATAATTGTGAAAATTTGTAATATCTTGCGTTTGTTAGTTTGTTTTTAAACAATTAAAACTTTTATTTATTTATTTAATCATCTTTGTAAAACAACCTTGCGGTTAAATACAATGGGTAGATTTGAATTCAACTATGGGAGAAATAGTTACCTTAAAGTTGGTATGGGCTAAAAAAATGTTAAAATGTCTATACATATCATAATGTAAATAAATATAAAATAAATACGCATACATATAGAAAACCGATTACAATAAATAAATTATGAATAATAAATATGTATATATAATAAAAAATGAAAATAATAATATTAGGTTTTCCTCAAGGTAACGTAGTCGGACCAGTTTTTTGAACGATTATGTGCGTAGTACCTACGCATTTGTATTATATTACCGTTAACAGATCAGAAATCTATCGCAAAACATTATTTAACAGATGAGTTGGCAATCGCAGTTTAAGTGCCTGCTGAGGCGGTTGGTGTTTACAATTTTCCGTTACAATTATAATATCAGGTACTAAGAACGTTCTGGTTGACTAAAACGATTGGCGTATAAAAGAAGCAGTAAAAAGAATAAAGCAACTGCCACCAAAATAAAAGAAGCAGCGCAACAAAAAATTAAAATACGCAACTAATGTGTACTCGAACAATTAAATAAAACAACAACAAGATAATAATAATATGCCTAAGAATTAAAATAAAAAACAATTGATTGAATAATTTAAAATACTACCAACGCATGCGTGACTCAACTGAACTAGGGTTCTGCAGCAACAATAGGGAATAGTTACAATTCATAAAATTTCAATAATAATAATATCACAGAAAAAAAAACACGAGAAAAAAAACCTACTGCAGAATAGAATAGTAATACCTCGGAACAATATTAAATTTACCCTATCACAGATTACACAGTGACCACTCTGCACGCTAACTACTCTGTACAATGATAGAACGTAAACAACATAGGGTAGTGCACGGCATAGAGTGATTACGAAAAGTTATTCGAAACTAAACAAATTCTTAGTTAGGGATTAAAGTTTATGATCTCTCAAATAATACAAGTAAATAAATAAATCAATTGAAATTCAATAAAATTCCTAAAACAAACACAATAATGAAATTCGTACACATTAGTTGCTGCAACCAAAAAACAAAAAAAACAAAAACGTTTCACAAACACAAAACGACACAAACACCAACTACTCCTACGCAGTGAAACCAGACCTTTTTTACCACGTTTATGGGCGCCAGTGAGGCGGTTGGTGTTTAAAATAAGGCAACAACCAGTCATAAAAAAAATTATATATTGGTAAAAGAAAAGGTCGTGGGCGTGGTTCCGATAATTTAAAAAAAAGTGCCCGTCTGGCTTCACTGGCAGGGTCAGGTACTCCCCTATGTGGCCGCGAGGTGGTCGAGCAGGGCCGGGGGGTTGGACTGTTCACGGGGAGCGCCGTGGGCAGCTGGCTGTGGCGGTGGCGGCGTCGAGGGGAGGCCTAGGCCCTCTTAAGAAGGACGACCGCCACGGTTGTAGTCGTAAAATTGCACCCTGGAAACAACGTCGTCCACATTTAGGTCCAGGTAATAAAATGCCGCCGATTATGAACCCCCGGTATATCGCAGGCTAGCAGTAGATGGGAGCACAGAGAGTAGCTGGCGGGTGTTCATAATCAGAACGGAGTTACAAGGCGGAATGGAAGGCAAGCGTCATAGCGGTGAGGCGCAAATTAAAATACACATGAATTAAAATTACGGCAAGTGTAAAATACTGTTTAAATGTACCAGGATAACTAATTTAGGCTGTGCATTGGTTGAAACATGATGGTGACTTGCGATATTTGATCGCGGTGCGAAATGTATGAGACGCCATTTTGTAACGGTACTTTTGCCAACGCACACAGCGGCTACATACATTACTTACATGCAAATAACACTAATAACGTGGCAATTAAATAGCTAAAAGCAAACAGCCTGGCATGATCAAATTACACTACCTATAAAACACTTTCACTACTTAAAACTAGGTAACGTTTCAACACTTACCCTTACGGGGTGCAAGACGATACGGAGGTCTCGGTGACGAGAATTAACGAAAAAACTATACGGCCACAGTGCCGGAATTATTATATTATTTTAAACTTTTTTCCAAAATGGGATTAAAATTTGCAAGCGCGTACGAGGACACAAAGCAGAGCTTGTGAACGCGGCTGCAGTGGTAGTGTGCGCCTCCCAGGGCGCTCGGGCGGAGAATGACCGGGAGCGCGACGCCGTGGAATGATACCGGCCGGGTAAAACTCTGACGCGAGAGTTGCAAAGCGCATAGAGTAACGAAGCGTCAGAGTGTTTGTTCGAAATACAATATTTTAATATTTGATTTATTATTTAATTCGTTCTTTTAGTTTACTGATTTGTTTTATTAATAGGATACCTAAGTTAATTATAGAATTATTTTTGTTAATAACTTTTATTTTATTTTTATTTAGTTTATTAAATGTTTATTTAATTTTAATAAACCGTTTAATTATAATTATGCATACATGTACGTGCAACGTTACAGTACCCCGCGCGCTACATAAGGATTTTATTATTCTTAATTAATAAAATCCGCTCTAAATTGTTATGTATTCGCATTATCCTTTTATACAACATCTCTCATACTTCACGCGATTATATCAGCGTCAACGAACATCAATAGGGTAGTTGACGCATCCTGTCATTTGGCAAGGTGTTCCAGCATCGGTTAGACTGGAAGACCCATACGAATACCTAGAGCTAAAGATGTAAAAGTGTGACCAGGGTAAAACGAGCACCATGTATATATATAAATATAACGCTAGTGTATTCCTAAGTAACAAGCAGAACACATGCAACTTAATTAAGTGTACTTGTAGGTGTAACATGGAGATCTTGTGATATTGCAGTGATGGTTGCTAGCCCATCTCCCACAACACACTACTACCCTATCCCTTAGTCGACTTTTACGACACCCACAGGAAGAAATGGGGTGGTGCTATTCTAACCCGACACCACACGGGGAAGTACCACTTTAAAAAAAAAGTGTATACGTATATGACTAAGTATTGTGTCCTGTTAATTTCAAATCCTTGATGTGCCAGTGCCAATATCTTTCCCAGACATGTCAGCCAGGATGTAAACTAGGGGTGACTTTTTACCGATGACGCGACATTTAATAAATTTTGGCGCAAGTTTTTTACTAAAGAACTTATCCTTATCACTTAAAACATATGCGCGTTTCATTACAGTGTCACCAATGTTAAATTCCATAGGCTTGCGCCGAAGGTTATAGTGGGTTGAGTTTTTAGCATGAGCATGCCACAATTTGGCCTTTACAGTATCGAAAACTTCCTTAAGACAACCCAAATCCTCCGCGTAGATGTCACGGGGAAGGAATAAAACCTCATCGCCTAAATCGTTATCTAAATAATGCGAGCCACATGTAACGAGCTCCCTGCCGAACACCAGGAAGGATGGAGTGAAACCAGTCGCCTCACTCACCGAATTGTTGAGGGCGAACTGAACCTTCGGAATATATGTATCCCAACTGCGATGATCGTTGTCCACGAAAGTTGAGATACACGTGATAATTGAACGATTATGTCGTTCTACCAAATTAATTTGAGGGGTGTACTTTGGCGTGAAGAACACGTTAGGGACCTTATAACGATGGAAAAGTGACTCAGTGACCTTCGAAATAAACTGGCCGCCATTGTCCAAAAATATGGTCTGAGGGACACCATGGACGAGGAAAACAGACTCTTCCAGTAACTTCGTGACTGTAGTGGCAGTAGCACTTCTTAATGGGAAAATTAGGCAATATTTCGAGAAGCAGCATGTGACTACGAAGATATAAGTGTTCTGCTTCCTAGTGACAGGCAAGGGGCCCATCAAATCAATTGAAATCATTTGAAATGGCCTAGAACACTGCTTCGGGCGGCCCATTGCTCCCAAGGTTTGGTGATTTTGAGCCTTGTAAGACAAGCACTTCTCGCAGGAGGCAACGAACTTCACCACGTCCTGGTGCATACCAGGCCAAAAGTAGCGCAAGGCAATACGATGGTATGTTTTAAAAACGCCGAGATGTCCA